TTCATTGTATTCATTCGGAGAGCGCGGATCGACACTAGACCCCACAGCTGGTCCCTCACGGAATAGGAAAGAGAGGGAAGGGATGGACCCAATATTTCTCGGGTAATATCCGGATTGAAAAGCGGATATATCTATTGGATACAGCCAAATAATGGTAGACTGTTAGCGGCAATAGCAAAATACAAAAATACGAACCGCAACGGAATGACATGGTATGGCAATAGGAGTCGAGGGGAAAAGGGCGTAATCTGGCTTTCGTCAAAGAATCTCTGCTAGCATGCCCGTTTTACTGTAACCCAGATTAACTCCGCTTCCTTAAGAATCTCTGCTAGCCTACCCATCCTCGGGAACATGCCAAATCAGGGTAAACCAATATCTTCTCTAGTATTTGGGGGTGAAGTACCTCCCCTCTACCCTCCCGATTGGGTCGAGAGCCCTGTGGTCATATTCTTCACAATTAGAGAGCGAGGCAGAGAGAGAGAGAGCGAGAGAGAGCGTTGAGAGGAGTATCGCGTAGCATCGACCTTGAAGCCACTGAAGTGAAGAAAGTATGAGACAATCCACATAACGGACAGCCGGATATACTTGTTGAGGAGAGAGAGCGATAGAGAGAGAGAAAGAGAGAGAGAGAGAGAGAGAGAGAGAGAGAGAGGAGAGGGAGAGAGGGAGGGAGACAATCGGATATACTCATCCACCAATATTTGCCATTCGATTCATCAACACTTTAGGGCAAGGTCGAGCTGGAAATTGGGTTTAAAGGGCCATTGAAGGCTCGAGAAGAGCCAGTAGAACCAGGTGAGCTGGCAGGGATTCTTCGGGATAATTTTGGGGATTGACGAATCAGCAGGGAGCATTTGAAGTCCAGGAAAGCAATCAAAAATTCTTTAAGGTCCAGGCAAGCCAGCGGAGAGTCTTGAGGAATCGGGTAGCCAGCAGGAAGTTTTGACTGGAATAGCTGTGGCCTAAGAGCGGAAAACGCGACAATACCGACACGTAGGGCCAAAATCCCGACATGCAAATCGCCATTTCAAAGGTAGTCAATTTCAAAATGTTATTAAGAATTTGTCGGGTTTTTGGCTGTCGGGATTGTCGCTATCAACATCTAAAGCCTGTCGGTATGATGGCTAAAATTTACCCAAAATATCGTCTTGCTTGCTTCCTTAAACCAAGATTTTTCGATATTTTCTGGGACTCGGACCTTTTGGGCTCGCTTTTGGCCTGGGGCCCACCTTCCTGCGGGGCCACTTTTGGGCTTTTCGGGGGGGTGGGTGTCGGCAGTGTGGGCAGGAAGTGGCGCTATGGCCCATTATCACATCTAGGGGGTGGTAGAGGGCATTCAACCGTATCAAGCCTCTATTATATCTGGCAACCGATCCCCGTGTATGTTGCCGACAACCACCCCCCAAACCCCCTGATCCGGTCATTTACCCCCCCACCGGGGTCATTTGCAGTCGAATGGAACTGGCGGGCGCTAAATCGCGCCTAAATTATCGGCAACTTGGGGACTGGAAAAATCTATAGACCCTATGCCTTTCACGTGCCTTTAACGAATCGGAGTACCTACAGAACTGTAGATTCTAGACCTTCCAAGTGCCTTTAAATACAAAGGACATCGAGACTTCCGGAACCCCCCGCACCGGCCCGTCTTTTGTAGTGTTTTGTAGCCCCCTTCAATACACCACTTCATTAGACGACAGTACGGGAAACTCCTTTTGACACCTGCCGCTATGTGAACATCCGCCAAATATGGGCCCCTGGAATGCGGCAGAAGAATAGGAAGGAATTGTTTTTAAAGGGACTGTGAAGTCAAAGTATAGATATATTTAGAGCTTACTAATACCTTTAACAGCCTTCAAAATTAAGCTTTGAAAGTACTACAAAGACGGCTAAGGATCTCTGCTAGTTTGCCGGATCCTTAAGGACCTCTCCTAGGTTGTCTGATTCCAAGAATCTCTGCCAGCTCGCCTCTTTCAATTCCCAAAGAATCTTTGTTAGCTTGATCCTTTGAATTCCTAAAGATTCTCTGCTAGCATGCTGATTTCAACTCCCAAGGGGTCTCTGCTCGCTAGCCCTTTGAATTCCCAAGAAATCTCTGCTAGCCTGCCCCGGTCAAGTCGCAAAGAGTCTCCGCAAGTTGCCTTTTTCCCTATTAAGCCCTGCCCGCGACCGAAAGTTCTGCGTCCCCTGCAGCGCTACCGTAACCCACCCAAAATTGGCCCGTAAATGGTAGCATCGCGGAGATGAGATACAACCATAATTCGTGAAGTTCAAGGGCTAGCAGCTAGTGGTATATTAGGTAATTTCTACCCCTGTAGCTATGTATGGGGGTATGGTACCTCAAAAGGCCCTTCTCCCCCGCCTTGGGTCTGAAATGCTTGTGGCGCAATATTGTCCTCTCCCGAAAGGCCTTCTCCCCCCCCTGCTAATCCGGTTGCCCTGTATCCCCTTTCGGCATCTATCAAATACACGAAAAAGACACAAGAACACGCGGGACTTTTTGGCTGAATGGCTAGTGGCAGGGGGATTAAAGGGACCGGGAAGACAGGTCAACTTGAAGGTTTTTTAGGGATTGATCTGATTTTTTGGAATTTTCGAATTTTTCGTGTTTTTATCAAGGTTCATCGGAAACTATGCGAATTCATAAAAATTCAGCCCGATGCCGTGGTCCAGGACACTTTGATATAATTATGAAAAATCCGGAACTGAAAATTGGTTAAAATCACGCTTTTCTTGCTAAAATCGACATTCGGGTTTCGACCAAAAAGGAAATATTTTTGATCTCAGGGTTCGAACTCGGGTCGTGAGAATAAAGGCCAAGAACACTACCAATGAGCCACAATCAAAGAATGCCAAAATGCCTTTGTCATGTTTTCAGGTCTTGTTGTGCTGGTTAGATCTTCGGCTTCTAGGTTTCCCGACTCGGGTTCGACCCCCGACCACGACAAGCTTTTGCTTTTGGTTGGGATAGTTTAAAGGCAGGTACAAGGGGCCAGTATACGGTATCAACATCTCTAATGTATCGCAACTTATGCCCCCAAAAGACTGTTTGGGGGGTCAACCCCATTGTGCAAAAGTGCCTTCTCTACCCGCACTTCGTTGTCACCTCATAAAGAGACACCGCCAGATTAGTGACAGAGAGAGAGAGAGAGAGAGAGAGAGAGAGGGGGAGAAGAGGGGGGATCGGTGTCATCTTGTTGTCTATACAAAATGGACAGGCTGAGGGATGGCGAGTCAATCCGAGAAATGCCTCGGGGTATGAAAGTTAGGGGGTCAAATAAAATCACAATGTTGGCTTCTATAGCCCTAAAAATCAAGTTATACTAACACTACTACTCTATGAACTTTTTTACTACTTGAGCATTCAGCAGAGCAAAAAGCAAAAAGCTGACTTGGCCGGGAATTGAACCCGGGTCCCCTACCTGACTGACGACCACGCTAACCACTAAACCATAGTCAATAACGCGTATTTTTTTAATTTTTGATTAATTCGATCGATGCTCTGCCTTCCTGGCTCCTTTAATTAAACATATTACATGGCTACAGTACCCCCATCGAATCAAGCCGCAAATCCGACCGGCAAATTGACCCTCCAATTTGGTCGGATGGGATCTCTAAGAAGAACATGTGCGTATCCGGAGATGGATTGTGATGTAACCAGCGCTGAAGGGACACCCTAATTTGCATAGATCTTATAGCTCGGGATGATAGGGATGAGTATTTGAGGATGAGAGGGAGAGAGAGAGAGAGAGAGAGAGAGAGAGAGAGAGGGAGAGAGGGAGATACTTGCAGCTGCCCCTCTCCATCTACTAATCGCTTGCATATTGGCCCTGCCCCCGAGCCGGCCGAAAATTAACATCTCGATTTTGTGGGATCATAAAGCGAGGGGGTTCCCAAATAATTTCTGCTAGCTTGGACTTTAGCTTGGCTTTCGGGGGTTCTTTTGCCGTATCGGGGGGAGGGCTAATTTTTCGAAAGATTTATTCTAGCATAAATATACCGTTTCATTAACTGTTTTTTTTCTAGGCTAGGCTAGGTTTGGCTTAGCTTTAGCATGGACTCGAACCTGGGCTTAGGTTGGGCTTAGGTTTAGGCTTATAATTAGGCTTGGGCTTGGCTTAGGATTGGCCTGGTCTTAACTTAATACCTCCCGAAATCCGAGCCACCCAAATATTGTCGGTCTTTGTCTTCCTCCTCCTCTACATCCGGCCCAATTATCACCTCCCCCCATCGTCACATTGCGCCAGTCCCCTCCCCACTAAAAGTTGTCCCCCTTCTAATTACCGTAACTGCGCGCGGCGGGACGTCGCTTTGTGTGGATCGAATGGTTCGAGAGTCGAGGGTAAACACCTTTTTATTGACCTGGTGTCAAGATATTGGCATATCCGGGGGAACATCTTTATTTATTGTCAACTTTTGGAATTGGCGTCATAAAAACAACGTCATTAGGCGCTGGGCGTAGCTTGGATATCATCGATGGCCACCTGAAAAAAATCACTAGCTTACTAAAACCTATAAAGTAAAGAAGAAACCACAAATTCCAACCTCTTCACCAGGCATCGTAGCTTCCAATACACTCCTAGTTGAGCGCGGAGCGTCCTGAAATTATAAATTTTCTAATTTTTTCTAAAATAACATTTTTTCCTGAGGATCCAACTTTCGTAATAAAGATATTAGTAGCCATATAAACTCTTTTTAATATTCCTCCAGTAAACAATATAGAAATTTTGGGAAAAATACAAAAAATATAGATTTTCGGCCGAAATTTTAAATAAAATAAGTTTATAAGCTTCTTAGATAGTTTTCCACTTGATGCAGATTCTTTCCTAAAAATACGATTAAAAAGCAGGTGAAACTACCAGGGATTGTATCTACGTAGTTCTAAAAAAGAAACCCACCTCATCAACTCCAGCGGCAGCAAACTGGGTGCGAATCTTCTGCATCTCGGCGACTTCTTCCTCGCTCGGCTCGGCGTTTGTGTTGCCGGTGATTTGCTTTTTTTATCTCTAGGAAAAAGCTAGTTAGAAATTCATATGAGCCTTAGAAGCTTGGAAATTAACTAAGAAGCTTTTCAAAAAGTCAAAGAAAAAAACATAAAAAACTCACTCAAACCCAACGGCATTCCCCTGATTACAGCGGTCGGTGTTACAGCAGCACATCGAGATTGGGATCTTTTGGAAGGTGGTGCTGATGCAGCGGTTGCTCGCGAACTATAAATGATAGCTTCGCTGTCTTTACTTTTCAATTTACTATAGTATCTTACTGTACAATTAAAACCACGTTTTGCCATTAGAATTGATTTAAAAGCTGAATTACCAAGCATCTCCATAGCGAGCAGCCCGCTTTCACGACATCGAGGTATTGGCCGGCTTGGGCGCTCATGTTGTAACACTTAAAGGTATTAGAAGTAGAGGTAGGCTTATCTTAAGCTTAGAAAAAGCTTAACATAAGCTACGCCCTGCTTAGCTTACGGTTAAAAAACCTACTTGAGCTGCGGAGCCGCATGTAACCGTGTTATCGCCGATCGACGTGCCTTGAATGACTTTGAGACCCTAAATTACGACAGATAAACGCCTAAACTTTCATGAAAAAGTTATCTTGATTATAATAAAACTCACATTATAACAGACGATCGAGAAACAAACAGGCAGGAACACAAAATCCCTAAAAATTGCCGCATTTCCGGCGCGACCGCTGGTCGCAGATTAGATCAATCGACTCGAAACGCCCGCCGCCGCGCTTGTTCCTTCTATAAACAATTTCTCTCGCGCGAAATTCGCGCTTGCTCGCTTTTTCTCTCACCCGGGGTTGGATGTTGGCATTGATTGTCTCTGGATTGGTGAAGATACCGAAATTTGACAGTTAATACGAGGAAACATGCTCAAAAACGCTCTAAGGTTGCATTGTGGAAGTCGGGAACGTTGAAAACGTCTACTTTATAATTTAAAATATATAGAAACGATTATTACAAACTTTTTATTTAGAAAAAGTAATAATAAGATCGATAACTAGCGATTCCGAAAGGCTACTATGGACATCCGGCGTCCCGGCGCGACCAGCAGGTCGATCATACGGTGGGCACGATGGCCGGGGCGTTCCGATTATTCCCACTTCTTTTCCCGCGGCCGAACGGTTTCTTGTTTCCGTATATCTACGCGATTTTCAAGATTTATTTATTATTGCATTTTCAGATGGGCAGACCAGGCATCGAAGCGCTGGCCCGCGGCCTCAAGAAAGGACACCAAGTGACAAAGCTGGATCGGGATCCACGACAATCGCGAAGAAAGGGAGTAAAGTCGAAGAAAGCGGTGGTGAGTATTTTAGTTATTCTTGGTCTTCGAAGTATTGTATTTAGTCCTAGAATTTCTGCGCCTTTTTACTTGCAAGTAGCAGGTATCTTGATTTTGACAAATTCGGGATCTCGACTAACTTTAGTGTGCTCGATCTAACCTTATCTTTTCCAGGCAGTACGCGAACTTGTCCGAGAAATCGCCGGATTCGCGCCCTACGAGCGTCGTGCCATGGAATATCTGAAGATCAGCAAGGACAAGAAGGCGCTCAAGTTCCTGAAGAAGCGCGTCGGAGGCCACTGCCGCGCCAAGCATAAGCGTGACGAGCTCCAGGACGTCCTCATCGCCATGCGCAAGCACCACAAATAATTGCCCGTCTATTTTACTGTTGGTTTTTTTTGTTGAATAAACATTCTTTTGCTCTGCGAGCGGATGTCAAACGATTGCTTGGCAAGGAATTGTGTTGCGATGAGTGTACTCCTGAGGTCGGTCTTGTGCTCTTTTGCGGCGATGTAATACGTGGTAATGTACTTGCGTTATCGCTAAGACTACATACTTTCCACTGTTTTTCACGTGGCCACGATATCTGCGCGACTGTGATCTCGCCTTGCCCCCTATTTTTACGACTCCTTTGTCCAAAACAAACATTTTTCGCCACCCTGTTGGTTCTTGGGAATGGGGATCGTTCTTTCGCGGGCTGCGCGATTGTTAATTTGCCCTTTTATTCATTTTTTCGTTTTCCACCTGTTCTAATTGGCCCACCCTCGCTAATTTTCACCTGTTGCCTCTAGGTGTTTGGCAAACCATAATTTTTCCGTGATCAGGGAACGTTCTAGGTAAAGCTGTAGTTCTACAGTTGGTAGAGTGTAGTTTTGTAGTCTAATGGGAATTATTAGGTGTTTCGTTGTTTAGACCAATCCCGAGGATACGCTTCTTTTAGGCATGTCTATCCGATCGAATTCTCATGTTTTCTGTACCCGTTACGCTGAATGGAGCCATGACTGTCGGCTAAAGCCGGATTTTTCGACTTCGAATCATCATTAGCTCAGACAAAGATCCTGCAATATTAGCGCTTTGGGATGCTTATCCCTAAATCTTCAATTTCCTGGTGCCCGCCGGGGAACCTACCGTACCTAGGGACGTCGGGCAAGAAAAAAGTGAAAAAATGCGGGGAGAAGGGGATTAGATGGGGGACGCGGGATCGCAACAAAGGGCAATTTTTGAGGGGTTTCCCTTGCCATTTCCAAACAAATGCTGGTGATTTTGCGCAAATCCGTTTTGTGAGTTTTTTTTGGGGAATCCATAGAGGGGAAAGATTGGGCATAAGATTTGGACCGGGGGAGGGGGATTATCTTGCAAACACATAAGTTATCGTGCTGGAATTGTAGGACGGGCTTCGGGACCACGTAAATTTTTTGTAGAGACGTGTAGGATAGGCTTTGACGTTTTTATGACTAATTGAAAAAACGAGCCACTGACTTTCAGAGAAGAAAAATACTTTATACTTTTGATGTTTACTAGGGTCCGAAAACGTGTTCCTGCTCTTTTCTAGGCAGAATTCGACCAGGAAATTCATCAAAATTCACTTTTACTTGCGGTGGAACGCCTTTTTCGCCATTTCAAACTAGCAAGGAGCTCACCGATGATAACTGGTTCCGCTCAGGACCGTTCCTTTCTTTTCCACCCCTCACGTTTCCTCTAGCCGATTTTTGTAACATTTTCGCCTCGCCTGGCCTCAGACAGACAGCCAAATAACCCCGCCAATCTATCAACGGGCCACTAGAGCATGTACTCATAATCTTACTACAGCCAAGTTTCGCGCCGCGCGCAATTTCGTTAGTTAGTTATTCACGCGGAAATTAGTCAGGCTGTCGGCCACTTAATCAAAGTTAATTCAAATTTAACGCCGCCCCCGCACAGCAAAAACGTCATGGTTTTCGCGGAGGGCTTTTGAAGAAGGGCACAGTTTGGAGAACACCCCCGACGTTGGGTCGGGCAAAAATTTGCCAGCCGGGTAAAAATATCCGCAAATTAGGGCCCATTGGCGATTGGGTCCAGGTGGCGGTCCGATTTTAAAAAAAACGCGGCGGCCGCTTTTGACCAATGGCGCACATCATGCGATCAAAATTCGAATACCATGGGTGGTTTTTATTTTTACAAAATGCGCCTGGACGGAGAGCTTTTGTTTGTTGATTGGGTCTAGGATTTCGGGTCGTCAGAAAAAGCATTTTGATTTTAGGTTTTAGGAGATGCTAGCAGGGATCGCGGAGGAATTTTAGGGGGCCTATCTTGTGACGTGCAAAATATTAGCCGACGTGCTAGCCCCAGTTTTTCTCAAGAATTTTACACTGATTTATTGAGAGGAAAGCCCTTTTTCCGTTCTTCATTCAGTTCAAGGGTCACCGCAGTTTAACAAAAACGAAAAGCTATTAGCCATGTTTTAATGCGACCTTTTCATCGCTGAAATTCCCCCGAGGAATTCGCCTCGCCCAGAAGAATTTAGTTTTTGTTTGCCGGAAATTGGCAGCTGGCCCGATTCATATCTTTTGCAGGGGGGGGGAGGGCAGGCTTTTTGTAGGTTTCGCCTTTTGTTGGAGACTAGAAAAATTTGATTCACTCTCGTTAAAAGCCGTTTAATGGGCATTGCAGAAGGTATGAGGATGGAAATTAGATTACAACCCCTTTCTGGGGCTAGAATCAAAATTCCTCGCCGGACCGGCCAGACGCACGCATGTCATTGTTGTTGATTGTAGTCTTGGCCCGTGGATTTCGGGGGCTTCTTTTTTTGTCGGGAAATGACGGGCGGGTGGGGGGTGGAGGAATAGGTGGGAACATTTCGAGGGGAATTGATGAAGGCTGAAAGGAAAATGAAATGAAGGCTTGTGGAAAATGAGAACGGCTAGTTTATTCTTAAAGGGTCGCTGCTAGCTTGCCCGGCTCTTTAATTGTATTTGCTTGCTTGCCCGGTGCCTAAAGAGTAGCTGTTAATTTATCTGGTTCCTAAACGGCCGCTGCTCGGTTATCGAGTTCCTAAAAGTTCTCTGCTTGTCAGCCCGGGTCCTAAGGGATCTCGGCTAGCTCGCCTGATGCCTAAAAGGTTTCTGCTAGGTGCCCCCGCTCCTAAAGAGTCGCAGCTAGTTTGCCCGGTTTCTAGATGGTCTGTGCTTGCTTTCCCGGTTCCAAAATGGCCCCAGCCAGCTCGCCCGCTTCCCAAAGAGTCGCAGCTAGCTGACGGGGTCAATAGCCAAGTTCGGGTAGCTGTTCCAATTCATCAATAACCCCCGCTAGATTACCATCAGCCTTTCCGATAATCCAAAATAGCGCAAATACCGTAGCTCTCTGTTCTCCGCTATTCCCGCCATTTTCGCTGAAAGGGATGCCGACGGCATAGTCAATCGGTTACGCGCTGGAAAGAAATTGTCTCTGCGCCTCTCCCCAGGGCGCGCTCTCTGCCCTGTTGGCTACTTGCCAATTTGTTGATGGGGGGGATCGACACATGCCATCGGCAGCCCTTGAACTTCCCTACGCACCTTTCCGCCCTATTTTCAGCGTTCCTCTTTTGCACGTGCAAAAGCCAGGTTCCTCCCAATTTTTCTTCAATTTTTTTCGGGTTTCCCCTGGAACATCTGGCTAAAGATAGCCCCCCCCCACGGCTGTCGACTCAGAATTCTAAATGGCGCCACCGGGGCCGGTCACAGCTATTCTAGTAGCCACGCAAAATATGCCAGGTGTTCAGGGTGTTTGCTCGGAAAAAGGTTGTGACAACTTTGTAGTCGGAGGGCAAGATTGCAGTGTTTATTTAGGGAAATAGAGCTATCTGGCAGGGGCTATTGAGGAAAATTAACTCATTTGGGATAAGGATCAGGGTGTCCTAGCAGTGATTTTTGAGGAAGGAAGGCAAATTAGCGATGATTGTTAGGCTTTTTGGGGATGAACGTAGGCAGCTAGCAGAGGTTTTGGGCGGGGGGGGCTAGTAGCAGGGATTTAGGGAAATTCAGGCAATTGGAGACAAACTTGCAGAGTCCATTTGCCAGCTCTGACGATTCGATCAGCTGACCCAGAAGCTTCTCTCGGTGGTCACATTTTAGGGGGACAATCTCGTGTGAGAGAGATACCCAGAGAGAGAGAGAGAGAGAGAGAGAGGGAGAGAGAGCGGACTGGATATTTGGTGTGACGATGCTTCTCCTCCTCCTCCTCCTCCTCCCTTTTTTGCTGATTTGCAGCCTTGATCAGTCGAAGGACAATCCATTCCATCGATCATTCCAACGCCACACTCTCAGCAGCAGCATCTCCAAATTACCCTCTCGGGGCGGGGCTCAGCTAGACACGAAGGGTGAACTTTTTCTTTTTCGCCCTTTTTCGTTTGTTAATGTGTTCCTTAGAGGATCGTCAAAATAGCCACGTTTTTAGAGGATCTCCATATCTGTCTCTCCCTATCTCTTTCACTCTCTCTCTCCGTCTCTCTCTCTCTCTCTCTCTCTCTCTCTCTTGCTCCCTCTTTCACGCTCTCTCCCTCGCCCTCTCTCCCCCTC